TAATTGTTAATATTAAAATATAATTGTTATATACATAACATATAAAAAAAATATTCCATATTCGACTGGATTAATGTCCGTGTTTTTTCTTACCTATTATTTTGCTTGGTCACTTGTAGGCGACGTGGAGCCACCAACTGGAGGCCGCACGGCGCCATCTCCGCTGTCCGTGTCCTCTAGTAGCGTAACTTCAGCGTCTGGTGGAGCATCAGTTACCGCATCCGTATCAGTTACCGCATCCATTTCTGTGTCGGCCGTAGAATCTACACGACTTGTTTCGTCAGCAGATTCGCAACCCCCGCAAGCTACAGAACCCGATACTTCTGCAGTGCCCGAGGATAATGATAACAGCGATGATTGGTGCGCAGTGTGCCACGACGGAGGAGAACTCCTTTGCTGTGGACTCTGCCCGAAGGTTTACCATCTTCATTGTCACGTTCCTTCGTTGGTGTCCACTCCAAGCGAGGACTGGAAGTGTACACTGTGCACCCCTGTACAGGAAGATTCATTACCAGCTGCTTCAAAGGATGGCGCTGGCAAACGAAAAATACCCGTTGGACTGAGTGGCAAACAACTGAAGATCGCCGAGAAGATCCTTCTGCAATTGTTTTGCCATGGCTCGTCGACCCCTTTCCAAACGCCTGTTAGTCGAACTGTCCCAAACTACTTCAAGATCATTACGCGACCAATGGACCTTTCAACGGTAAAGCAGAAATTGTCGGCGAGTCACTTCAATCACTATGAGAGTGCTACCGCTTTTATTCAAGACATACAATTGATCTTCTGCAACTGCTATACCTTTAATGCCAAGGAATCGCCGTTAGCTAAACAGGCTCAGGTGAGAATTTCTTTTTCTTCAAATTTCTTGACGCTATATTTAGCTTCAGAAGATTCAGGTAGTCCTACTGTGTTCCCGGTCTACGTTCAATTTTAACGACCTTGTAAAACAGCTGTGATTCTGTTGTCATCTTTCAGCATATTACGCAGAGAAGACCCAAATAATGCTTAACCTAAAAAATGATCGACTGTTCTCAGCTATAATATTAACTCATGACCTATCTTACTGCTTGCAGCTTCTCGAACAATACTTTAAACAGCTTATCGAGAAAGAGTTGCCTGAATGCATCGGTGACCTAAAGGATCAGTTAGAGGAGCTTGATGCAACTAAAAAAGCCAAAGTGGCCTAAAAGTTGGGTTAAACTCTTCAGGAAACTTCGTAGACTCACGGAGCATCGCTATCTTCGATAGTCGACTTTAACGACAGTGAACAGATAACTCCTGGAGGGTGGTTGCTTTCTATTTCGTCACTTTTGGAGCCCTTATTTAAACCTCCTTAAGGATCTCCCGGTTTACTTTATAGAAAACCACCTTGAACTTTTCGGAAGCTGCTTGGAAACTGGCAATAACGTAGACCAACCGATTTCAGAGAAAAAGTAATGTTTTTAATTTTGGCGGGAGTTCATTCCGCGTGAATAGATTTGATAATAGTTTCTTTGCGGCCAAATTGCAAAGACTACGTTCAAATCGGGGAAATCGCGGGCTAGCAGTAAAAATAGTCCCATTTTAAGTATTGCACTATATATATATATATATATATATATATATATATGCTTTTAAACTTCTTCAGAATAGATTGTTTTCCTACGCATAATAAGTTTCAAATATACATTGATTTATCTAGGCAAAAAATGCGACACCTTCTAAAAAATATATGTATTTTGTGTTTGTCAGTTTCTTGTGTGATCTCGGCGACTAATTTTTTCGAATGCTCGGGAATAATAACCCATTTCTAAAAAAACTGCGAAACGTTGATTGATATTTAGCTATGGCAAGATGTAGAAATCAAGTTATTACTCTTTATACATATTGATGTCATATCAATATATATATATATATATATATATATTGATGATAACCAGTTTATTCGGTTGCGATCTGGGATTTATGTGTACGCATGTGTACAGTATTCATGCGTGTATGTGTGTGCCTGTGTTGAATTCTTTGCAGAAATAAAGTGTTCTTCTGATCCGATTAATTCTCTGAACGGGCTTACAGTACACCATTGTTAAGGGAGAAAATATAATCACCAATTCTGAAAATATATTCGATACAACAAGTGTCTTTCGAAACAAACACGTTCTATTGAAAAAATGGGAAAAAGTCGGGTTGGCATTGCGAAAGATCCGATCTGATTTATGAAAGAAAATGACAGACTTGGAGTGAAAATAATATACTTATATCATATACAAGTAGGTAAGCTGCATTGGCATCATTGGATACGATATTAACTCCGAAAGTGCTTGATGTAGGCCAGATCGGTGCTACGTAATAGTATAGATGCTTATCTTCCAAGAAGCAATGTGTCTCTAAGAATGAACGCAACACTTGAAGCATTGTTAGAAAATTATTACTCAAGCCACCCTAGGCTAGAATAGTACGTTATGTATAAAAATATTATTAGATCACGTGTTTCTCATTCGATTGCATGAGCGTATCCAGCATACATATTCAATTTCTTTTGCAAGTGTATTTATAAAAATGTGCGTCAATTCTGAATATCTGTTTGAAGGGATAGCGTTATTAGTATTATTATGAACATCCTGTACGAATAACGCTGAGGCGATGTGTGCGTGTGATAGAGATAGTACAAACATGTGGGGATTTTTAGTCGAAGGATTTAATCATTTTTGAGAAAAATTCAAAGTATCATTTGTCTCATTATCACTACTGCCAAGCTTACAGATGAATAATAGAGAATTGTTTCATGAGCAATTCTGTTCCTTCAGGTACGCTTCCTGCTAGACGTTAAGAACATATATATGAGACAACAGCGATAGTTTATTGATATCTGAGAAAAACAAAAAAGCTTTGACGAGCATATCACGTTGTTAGCGGAACGGGGCAGAACAGAAACAGGGTCGAGAAGGAAAGGGTAGAAAAAATTGTCAGGGACATATACCATATACGCAACCTGTATACAAATTACATCCTAGAAAAGGAAGCTTGATAGATCAAATTGAAAGGACTGAGGTTTTTATAGATACATACGATACGCGAAACAAGTCTCAATCTTATATACAATACAAAAACTGTTGCCAATTTGGTCCTCTTGCTTTGACCCATTACACATATTATTTGTATGATTTATAGAATGGTGGCGTTTGCTATTATGTCTGTCATTTATACTGATTGTCTGCGAAAAATAGTTTGAATACCAGTTGTAGAATTCAAAATCAAATTTGAAATCGCATCAATTGTTTCAGGCAGGTTAGTTACACTCGCGCTAGGTGGAAGTAAAGATTTCCATGAACAGTTCCTGTCGACGACAAATAACCGTGCCTACGTAGGAGATTATTACTTAAAAGTTATTTCCATCACATATTTTGTATCTAAATGACCTGCAAGTATCAGATAAATGGTTGCAGAAAGGTTACAAAAAAGCTGACTGTGAAAAATATGGTACTCAAATTCACTAAGAGTTACCTTTTTTTGCATTTAAACCGTGGTCAACGATTTTGAACATTGGATACGCACCAAATCTCAGACGTTGTTCTCTGTTGGAAGACCTAAAAAATGCCTATTCGGGATAAATATTTAAGATAATAAAGATAATTACGACGAATGTATGTGAATACTCATATTAAACCAAAGGACCCCCCACCCCCTCCTTCTCTTCCGCTTAAAGGGATATTATTTAGTCTGACAAAGTTTTTTAAATTGTTATTTCAGTACGTTCATGAAATCTTAGATCCGCCTAGTAATAGCACAGAATGAGAGCTCTTTCGTGTGTCTTTATTAGCGAATGCGTTTCGTGTTCACACAAGAGAAAAACTAAATGCGATACTCGGCGACTCTCCGGTACACGATGTACAAGATGATAATAAGTCAATAACGGAAACATGACTGGGCTAGAGGAATCAGAGATAGTAAGAGAGCACATGAGGACTCTGTAATGCCTTATTATTGCTCTATTCATTTAGAGTATGCTTTCTGTAAATATAACAACCAACCTAGAGAATACATTTGATACTGCAGAATAAACCGTGAGTCTTATGTGTCTTCAATAACATTGTCAGTGATCAAAATATCCGTAGTCCGCAGAAAACAGCGCGAACATTTCCCGATAATTGAAACATTAGGAGCCTTGTGCGTCCCATTTTCGCTTTGCTCTTTGCACAAAGACGCGCATACAGGCATCCCGTAGTAGAAAAACAATTTGTGAAAGGCCTGCTTGGATCACTGTGAGGGAAATTAGTCCACAATGGCTACCTCGCTAAAGAACAGAACGCAAACGTAGGCAGATAAAAACTACTTGTCAGCGGATTTTTCCTGCCGACTTCGTCATAACCATCAGTTCGTTTTCATATACTCAAGTACGCGCAAAAGTACCCTATTACATGGTGAACGCTGGCTCACTAATAATACTTGCCTGGGGTGCTCAAATGTCACGAATGTCCGCAGCAAACGACAACCATTCTATTAAACAAGTGTCTACATTTAAGACTTTAATGAAATATAGATATATTGAACTATTGTTTTTATTACCTTATTATTTACATTTCTAGTATGATATTTACAATCAACAATGTACATCAACATTCACCAGAAACACTCAGCATCGATGGTACCGTGCCATCTATATACCCCATGATAAATGCCTAATTTTAGTTTCATTATAATAGTCCACGAAAGGGTTTAATAATAATAATAACAAGTGTTACTCTTAGAGGAAAAAGAAGCCTACACTAAAAATACATGTGCAAGATTTGTCCTCGGATAAATATAGGCTAGGTAGGTGACTACTGGCCATCGGAAGCTGGATGCTTAAGGTGTTCTTTATTATGATATTACTTGTAATAGTATTTTTTCAAAAACTATCTTCGATGTTCACATTGGCTCAACTATGTCTGTGGTCACTTGAATTTTTTTGCTATGCCGTGCAATATCATCTGGTTCCAAATTCTGCCATACTCTTGATTTGACTCATTGGCGATACGTTCCAAACTGACCCATGCACGCGGTTTGGTTGTTTACTCTCTTATCTATTATTCTAGATCTATGCCCTCTTTTTGCCTCGTATCCGCTTAAGGCCGTATTAGTTCGATCTTCATATTTCCAGCTAATCAGATTTTTTTCTTTGATTACGTGTTTACGGCCACTCCAGCCTCAAATCCATTCTCATTGTCGTCCCTGACTGGATGAGTTGTGCTTCATGATTCCACCTCTCCAAAACACATCTAAAATTCAATACTCTACTACGTTATTTATCCGTTTCGACTTCACTAAATGTCGTGCGCCTATGCTGTCTTCTATTTATTAATATTTCCCGAATCGATCACGTTTTTGTTTGATCACCTATTTACGACCACCTTGCGAACAATCAGCTATGGCCATCGGTGGGAGCCACCTGCAAAAGAAGGGTATTGTCCTTTCCGGTGGTATCGTCGAGTGTTAGCATCCTCTTGGCTCTTTCGACAGGTTCGCCACTACCAACACTTCCAGCTCCGTCTGAATCAGAGCTGAGCTTGCGCTTTACCGCACCTAAAGCTGATGGCCGCAAGACAAGTTGTGGACTCTGCGATCGATGACGCTGAACTCGAGTAGGTGATGGCGATGAAGGCGCTCTCATCGCTGACCGAAGAACCGAAGGTGAATAGCACTGCCGATTGCTTCCCGAAGGCGAGGCTGCGCCTGCGGTCGCACAACTGGTGCTGCCACTTGGCGACGGACAGCCAAAAATCGGGGGTGAGTGAAGTCGCCTGGGCCCACCGAGGACGGGACTCGACGGAGAAGGCGAAGCGCAAGAGGAAGGCGTTTCATCAATCGACAGATCATCCCATGACTGTGAAATGAGCAACTTCGATGCTAGCTCACGCTCCTGTTGAGCTTCACGCACGGTCACTGCCTCCATCTCCTCAGCGCGAATCTGGTGAACCCGAGGGACGACGGGGGAGTGTGGACCTGATGACGTCACAGACATGGTGCGACCTCGAAGGCCCTCCCTAAAAAGAGAAATCGACAACAATATTTTTGTGCATCAGCTGCATCCTTGCGAATGCGCAGTCACAAGTAGCTTATGTGGGTCTTAAATAACAGCTTAAAAATAATAATATGCACATTATGAGTGTACACAATAGGTGTCGCTGCCAGTTAAAATATATTTTGTGTATCACAAGTTTGACGCGGCCATTGGCTGCATTAACTAATACAAATGTGTGTAATAAGCGTTTTTATATATTAAGTAACGGACACTCCTTGAGCGTCGCAGACATGTAAGTTTTTCCTAATTATAGGTAAGATGTAAATAAATTATAAAAAGGAAACGTTCCTTATTGCAGCATTATACAGAGGTAAGCTTATCCTAATAAAGATCCAGTATTTCTAAAATCAACAAATTATTGCAAACATAGAGATTATGTAGCTGAAGTAATATAGCAAGCTTGTTCCATATGCTTAGACTTTGGGATAATGGAGTACTTCTTATAGGAACCATGTGTAAGTTTAGAATAGTACATACACCCGCGCTAAACTGACTGATATATCAATAAACGAATTCACGCACGCACCACGTTAGCGTATTTCAATAGCCACGACGTCAGCTTGTAGCGCGCACATGTCATCTTCGGCATTCGTACCCACCGATCGTTGACATTATCCTCTAACTAACCTGAAGCTCTGTGCAGGATGAAATGCTGAATGCGAGATTAGAACAGGGCTAGCCGGACTGGCAGATGGACTTAGGCTACCGCAGCCTCCGCTGGCTCCACCGGACGATGGCGAAGATGTCGCCGTCCACACCGAACCTGAACCTGATAGGACACTGCCTGAGTGCCCTCCACTTGAAGGGCTTCCGACAAGCAAAGGCGCGGAAGAGCTACGCTTCAGCTTTGCTTGAGGTACTACGACGACGGATGGCGCCGTGCCGGGTTCTGCAACGGCTGGCGGTGGAGCGGTTTCCTCGGACGAACTGTCAACCTCCATCGCTTTAGCTATTGCCGTTTTAGGGATGTGTCGTTACGAAACGAGAGATGAACCCACAGCCACTCTGGCACATCAAGTACGGCCAGGACGTCGACAAGTTGCTGCTACTGCTTTGACGTCCTCCGCAGGAACGGGATCGCAGTTTGCAATGCGATCGGCCTAATCTCTTGGCCAACAGTCGTAGCTAAGGGAGTAATGCGCCTGTGGTCGATGTGTCACGACTCTTGTGCATGCCACGGAGTTAAACACTACTACTGCTGTGGACGCACACCACTACAGCCTCGCGAACTACAACAACAAACTCTATCACAACTTCTTTAGTGATCCACTTCAGTCCTACTGCTGATAGTGGATAAGGCGGCAGGGCCGCAGGGGCTGTAGCAGTGGCAGTAGCAGCAGCAGCACAAGCACGAGTTTACAGTCGCCTACATAAGCCTACCGCACAAGGGCAGCGACATGAAACTTTATTCGGCGCGCAGCTGAGGATATTGATGATTACTGTTATGAATATCTTCATCGTATCACAACCAGCACATACAGAAATTTGTTGATTTAACATAGACACACACCGATACGGCCTGCTTGCCGTAGGCATCAACACGAGCTAGCCTAGACACAGCTGCACTCAGAGACACTGTGTGCTGTCGCTATGTCGATCTATATGTAAACAGAGAAGCCATATAGGGGCAGAATACATACGCAGCTACACACTCATGTATAGACGTACACATGTAGACCCAAGCGAGGTGGGTCCGTGTGCATATCTGAATGCAGATGCACAGACAGCCACTCGAAAAAGGTGAAAAAAAAGAAATTAGTAACAGGAGTTTTAGGTTCTACCTATATTCGATTTCTATATATAAATATATGCCGCTTCACAGAAACGGTAAGCCTGGCTCTGTCCAAGCCATCTGCTACACCCTAGATTTCGTTCAGAATGCCCTACAGGTGTCGATTTTGGGTGAGTGGCCGCCCGCTTAGCCGACGATGAGCGCTAGTCAGCCAGACATAAACAGAAAATATTCGTTCATTCATCAAGAGAATTTATGAAGCTGATCGTTGCGGATTTGCTGTCTTAACGAAGTCGTAGTAAATACTACCACTATAAATCATTGTAGTAATATTATTCTACGGTTCATGATAGAAATTGTACTATACCGTCTATAGGAAGACGGCGTACGGTATCGCCGGTGGGCATGATTGGCATTCAATCTTATAGGAATTACTAGTATATGGCAAATCATAGATTCTTCGCGTTGCCGATACTTCTTCACAACCCCCGAAAGATATCCTGCCTATATTTTTACTTTTTAATATAGATTGCGATATCTGGAATGTAGAGTAGAAACCTATCGGCGATTTGCCCTTATCGTAGAGGTGTTGCTGGCATTATATTAATGAAGATAAAGGGTTGACGGAGGTAGGTTGGACGCCCATTCAATAGAACGTGGCCGATGCAATAAAAAAGGACGGGCAAGAAAGCACTTACACGAAAACACTTCAGCCAGCTTGACAGGATTCATTTAACTCCCGTAAGATTTCCTACGTGTAGAGTGGCTCTAGGCAATATACCACTTTATCAAAGATGAATGTTCCCGGTTGACCAGAAGTCTTCAGTATCTATGTTCAATGGAGCATGCTGCGGCCAAATGAAAAAGGCTGTAATCTCGTGTGGTAGCAATATGCAGTAATCAGTTTCCTGGCCTATTGAGTGATTTAAGATTACTTGCCATATTTGGCGATCATCTTAACTGACCGCGGCCTTGTTGTCTCTGCATGATTTTATCGTGAATTAATGAATGAGCAGTATTTCGGTCAGCTTTTTTTCTGCATTAGTGAGTCACATGTCCTTGATTTTTTTAACATTTGGATTTGATAATGATGACGACGCGGGTAGTGCACCACGGCATCCCACGAACGCCCTGCTTTAACAGAAAGAGGAATCGAAAATATTGTAATTGCTACCAGAAGCTATTTATGCGGTATGATTCTCATGAGTAGCAGTGGGGACACATGCTAACAGAAGCAGAAAGTCTCTCAAGGAATTTGTAAAGATTAAAAATACATTGTACATTAATGTCTCATAAGTGCCTAGAATGTGTAGACCATTTTACACCTAAAATCACAAGTAATGTCGAACTAGAAGGTTGTCTCGAGCTACATTTAGTATACAGTTGTTTTGATAATTCAAGTGATCACAGTGCAAGAATAATTTCATCGGTTCTTTGCTAAAGTACTAAAGGGCAAACAAATGACAAACTCGCCAGTAGAATACTCTATCTTATTGTAATTACCTTTTTGTAAGAAGTTGTGGGGTGAAATTTTAATAATCAGAGTATTGATCACATATGCCACCCATAATAATCAAGTAGATGTTCAAATCCGAACAGAGCCGTTCATCACGCCAATCACGGTTATTTTCGCTAACACAACTACCAAACTAGCATGACTATAGCCTTACTTTTGTAATTATGATTCTTCCATACACTATGAGCGTGCTCGTCTGGCTATTGCGATGCGCTCATCGGACCTCAGTTACGACTCGGTGCTGCACCATGGGTTCCTGTCTAAAACCATCTCCTCTCTCTCTCCATCTCTCTCTCTCTCTTTCGCTCTGTATTATACACCACTTCCTCGCCTCTGGCGGCGAGACGCCCGCCCACATCTGTTTGGGTCTGACATGCCGACCGATGCGTTCATCCGTTCATTCCGGTGTGTGTCCCCGTAATGCTGCAGCAACATTAGCAGGCAGCCGCCGCACAGACAGGAAAAGACCAGACTAGAGAAGTCGTAGCCGTCGCAATAGCAGTGCAAGTAGCTGTGAAGTGGTGGGGAGTGAACTAAAAGAGTGTAAAGGTGGCGCCTTAGCGTGGCTGTAGCGGCATCGGAAGCAGTGTCGCTTGATCCGGCTGGGCGGATGCTGGTCGCTGTCGCCTGCCTGCGTGCTGAGGCTGGGCAAAACGAAGAAGAGCTGTGGTAGACGACGAGGACGAAAACAAAGAACAAAGCGTCGCTTGCGGATTGTCGCCGACTTTGGTCGTTTGTAGTCGTCGGGACAGGACAAAAAATAGACAACAACGGTGGCAAGCACGGCCGCGAGCGGTGGGGACTGCTGCTAGCGGTGGTGTGCTGCGACAAGTGACGGGTGTTCACAAACGGCTTAAATACAGAGAGACAGCTGGACAGGCAGGCAGGCAGCAGTTGAGGAACACCCGCCCATTGCGCCAGCACTATCTCATACAGGACAGTACTACGATACAATACACACGTAGCCGAGAAGAGCACGGCTGTGTATCGACCGCTGTTGCTAGAACGGGCTGACGAGGCTCCATCATAGACTAAGGCGGTCGTTGGGTCAGCAGTGCGGCCGGCTGACTGGCACTGAGCCACTGCGTTGGTGACGGCTGCCGATAGCAACCACTTTCGGTGGAAGTGAGCTAGTGCCGACTGTTGCTATTACAGTGGCAGTTCAATTGGGAGGCGCTGATTGTTGTTGTTTTTGTTGCTGCTGCTGGTTGTTGTTGTTGTTGTTGTTCCTCCTGCCGCCGCAGTGCGATTGTGACGATTGTGACCGCTTGCCTGTGCAGTTGTGTTCACAAGTACAGCAGTGCGAGTATAACAGTGGGGTGTGAGTGTAAAGCCATTGAGTGGTGCTGAAGCCGTTGCCTGTGAAGGTGGCAGTGAGTGCCACTGAGAAACAGTCGTAGTAGTAGCAGCAGCGTGACAACGGCAGCAGAGCAGTAGTGGTCGCAGCGGAACTGAACAGCGGGAAAATGTCGGAGGGGGAGCTGAACGTGGACTCGGTGATCTCGCGGCTGCTAGAAGTACGAGGCGCGCGACCAGGCCGGGCGGTGCAGCTGAGCGAAGCCGAGGTGAGGGCGTTGTGTCTCAAGTCCCGGGAGCTGTTCCATTCGCAGCCGATTCTTCTGGAGCTCGAGGCCCCGCTCAAGATCTGCGGCGACATTCACGGACAGTACACCGATCTCCTGCGCCTATTCGAGTACGGTAAGTACTACGTTATGCCATAGCATCAACTGTCAACAAAAGCTAGATAGAATATGACAAGAATGACAAATGACTGTTTATTGGCTGATCAATCATACCTTGCTACGTATATATATATATATATATATATATATATATATATATATATATATATATATGTTTGAATCATAAATAGACAGGATTAACATCCTACTTTAGCTATCTGTTCGTTTGTGTGCGTGTTGAAGCTACGTCCCATTATTGCACGTAGACTAATACAATACATCTGTGAAGTACCGCAGAGACAAGTGTCATGCATTGCCAAATAGTCGCTCTATATATCGGTTCGTCGATGAATGAGGAACGAGTGAAACAAAGCTCCTCTACTTGAAGCTGCTTACAACGGGAGTCATTCGAAATATCATGCACCTCGTTTATCCACACAAGCATTATTCGATTCATAATTCTAAGACCTTTCCATGAGACAATTAAGTGACAAGAAGTTTTGTCGTAGCCCCTTTTGCAGCTATCACCTAGATGACTCGACAGATCGACATGCATCTCTTGATATTCGAATTCAAAGTATATATCCCTCTACACCCCACAGCTGATCTGTTTTAATTTACCACTATTATCTATTTAAGTTGTTTCACTACACACGATATTCTATACATATACGAAGCATAAAAATGGATACGCTTTACATCAGAGTTACACGATTACCTTCGCACCAGCCTACCCTAACCATTAGAATCTCAGTAGCAAAACAAGTTAAATCAGAATCTCTCTTATTCATCGATACTGCCTAATGCGATATCCGGCCTATGTACGACTGACAAACTTAATTAAGCAACACTTTACTCACATTGTTGATTCATTAGCAGTATGCAATTGTTCGCATGTGTCTTATCATAGTATATTATAATGATTATATGCTGTGGAGGGCATGTAGTATGTACGTTTGTACATACCCCGAGGTTGCCTATTTATTTCAATGAGTGTGTTTTCGTGGTATGTGTGTATGTTTGATAACGTGATTTTATCTAACGAACACCATAAGCAAATAGGCAGCTGAACAGAAAAAGTTACAGTGGTTATAGACTCCGCGACGAAAAGCCTCTCTAAATGTACGCTTATCTTTATGTGATTATTACTACATATGTCCCGCACTAGAGTGACTTCTGTGAGCGTAAGTTAGTTAATGTGCCGCTCAAGCACTAGCAGTATCAGCAACACTAACGCTGATCATAGATATTAATCAGATCATCACAATAGAAAACTGAAACTGTGTGTGTCCTTTGTGTAAACTAACGACCATGATTGACCGCAGCCGACTATTTATCATTATTAGCTAGGCACAGGTTGACGGGCTCAGCGTAAAAGAACGTAGAGAAAGACCGTTGCTGGAATACGATGAATACACGAGCAAGATGGCTTCATTCGAAGCAAGGGCCAGATCTCTGAATGGATGCGTGCAGGCAATTATCTTTAAGTGCCCCAGCAAACGCCCCGGGAGTATCCTGCGTAAACCAAGTAGAAGAGAAGCAGCAAAGAATAAGAGAGCGATTGACCGAACGATTATTTGTCACCGAAAGCTATTTATCTATACAGGTATCGATATATCTGGGTATTGTCTATGCTGCACTGGCCTCACTGCCTCAGCGAGTACCATTTATATAGAGTATAACGGTTGTTCTTTTTATCATATTATGATGATGTTGATGCTAGCGATTCTTACTGCTTTGATGTTGCCACGTGTGCGAGACGCGTTATGTTGCCAAAAAGTATTTACCGTGAAAGCCACTGTTGTTTACCCACTGTCTCTACTATTTTATTATGATAATAGTACATATTATTGCGCTACTATACACTGGGGCTGCTGGGGTTGTCCATGTTCCCCCTTACTACAGCTACAATTTGTGCAGTGCAGAAAGCGCTCATTAAGTAAATAACCACATGCTCCTGATGATTTCCTTTTTTTGTAACTTTCCATTTGAAGGGTTTTGCTGGGTATGCTTGTTGTTAATTAAATTTTGTGTGCTTTTTTACTAAATATTGAAGTCGTCATATGATGCCCATTGCGCTCCACGTCGAGGATGGTCGCGAATTCGAAATAACATAAAATACCCCATTTGATCGTAAATGGCACATATGAACTGCAGCTATTCCTTATGACATTGACTTTCTCAGTCAGGCCAATCAGCTTCTTTATTTTTTTGCTAACTATTTGGTGCTGCTAAGGTGGCCGGATCCTTGGCAGAATCACTGAGAGCAAATGGCAGTTAAAAGGATATGTATGTGTATGTTTTGCGTTTGCTTTATCGTTCGATGTCGTCTTTACTCGGCTTTGACGAAGCATCTGTCAGCGTTGTTGTCATTAATGCTTTTGCTGGTGCCGCGGTTACTGTTACTGCTTTAGAGCTGACTTTATGGGGATGCATTTACAACGCTGGCCTTGTTTAGGCTGGCTAGCCCTAGCTTGCTTTTCTGTCGGCCAAAACCGTAGCAACAGTAGCAGCAATAACAATAGCATTCGCGATGTTCGCCTCAGTATATGCCATACAGTCCAATTTGAGCCGCTGTGTCTGTTTTCGCTTCCGTCATTTTTTGTGCAGTCTCCAATCGGAAACTAACGGCTATCGTCGTGATGGCAGTTGTGACAGCGGCAGTAGCCACGCATGAGCGGTTGAGCGACAGTAACCCCGACCGCCACCTCCAGCAAAGTATTGTGCGTGTTGTCGCTGACGAAAGACACTATTGATAATTGAAAGGCTTCAGTTTGGCTTTGTTTGGGCCGTAGAAATGGCGGCGGTGCGCGAGCAAGCCTGCTTCGGCCCAAAAGATTGGAGAATTCGTGAACGCAGGGGCATTCTAGACCCGTTCCTCAAAGCACTAAGTGCTTTCTTGCGACAGCGAATAACTAGAAAGAATGAGAAGCAACGGGAACAAAATTCGCTAGACCGGCGTGGGATTTCCTTTCTAATCGTTGAGGTATCTTTTGAGAGACGGGAAGGTATATAATATTGCTGTTTAGGAGAGGTAACGATATTTTACGTTAACCATGCCATTACACTGTGTTCAAGCTCTATTTATCCTTATTGAAATACAAGCACAAGCTAGTACAACAATTAGCTTTCTAATATAAGTATACATCAAATTGGTGGTATTCTTTGCATTGACAGTGGGGTCCCTTTTCAATCCTCGCTATTACGTCCGTTTGACGCCGGCTGAGCAATACGGATTATAAGAATTTCCAAACGTCTATCGATATCTATGTTGGTTAAAGTCTACTTTCGACCGGTTCAATATGCGATTGTGGCCGAGACATCGGTCATATGGCTGACTCGAACCCAGCAGAAGAAACCAATTTTATATAGGCACTTATTATTGCTATATTGTAAGCAAATTCGGTTGACCGCATATGTACGCATCTAGATGATAAGGCTGCAATTATTAGCGATCCTCATTGTTGAACTGTGAAAAAAAAACATTTATGAATAATCATGCTTCATTCTAGTGGCGTGTTAAAAATATCGTATAGATAATAATAAATAACTGTCTTTTGTGAAATAATTGTTATGCGGTCAAGTCAACCAATTGACCGAACCAGCATCTTATTAAAAAATCTTATTAACTAAAGTGGGAGAACACGTATTGATTTTAGCATCAGCTTAAAGTGCTTGACCTTTACCTCTGTTTTTTTTCAAAAATATTTGCTCCATACAGGATTGTTTAATCAGATTGAACGTTTTTATACGATTTTCAATAAATTAAGAAAAAAGACTAATTTGATTAAGATCGGGAGATTCAATTATTCTTTACTGTTCGCGAAGAATTATTATCATTATCACCACCTTTCATATACACAAAATGAACCGAACCTGTGTCCTCCATCATTTGCCGCGCTCTAAAGAACAAATTGATTCTTAGGATATCGCCAATTTCCCCGATCCAGCCAGATATCCATCGGGAGTATGATTGCATGATGTGCAAGCAAATTAGTGTGGAGTAGCTCTCTGGAACCAACTCTCTATGAACCTTTTCTAGCCTACAAATATTATTCAGAATGGCGCCCACCTAACACGAGGCTGTTTCTATCTAAATATAGTTTTTTTTTTCTTGATATCACCCTTACAGAAGACAAAATAAAGGTTACGTTGTAAACAGTCTACAATATGCGTGTGCTGACCACCGTCATTAAAAATTTTGAATTGCATTGTTTTTCAGTAACTGAAATTCGTTATAGCAAACTTTTTCCTTCTTTTTATTTCCCCCTTTTATTTCTTATCTACTTGTAACAAAATATGGGCCAAAGATACGAAGATCAGTTAAAAACCCGTGTAAAAATGACTCACTTGTTAATTGCATATACGAACAGGTCCAAGTAGTAATTATATGCTATAGTTTTTGTCAGGAAGTCATTTTTATTATCTGAAATTCCTAATTGCTAATATATAGAGCCTTATGAGTGCACATTAAACAACCAACTAACAGTCTTTATATTGCACACTTTATAATACTCTGTAGCCTATTTTTGTTGTGATGATCAAGAGCCTATACCGACAGACGGATATGCAAATACTAGAAATGATATCAAATACGCTGTATGTATTGTGACGACGATGTGGTCGAGAGGTGCTGTTTTTACGGTGTTTTTTTTATCTTGTTTTATTGTGCTATCTATTTTTGGTGTTCATGTTTAGTTTGCTTCCATAGCTGTTCCTTTCCTGCTGGCGTGGCTATTATTGTTTAGTGTTTTTAATCTTCCCGTTGTTTCTCCATAATCAGACGGGTGCTGAATACAGTTGAACGCATCGATGGAATACACCACAACAGCAACAGCATCAGCAAAGCCGACGAAAACGCCACCAAAATACGTTTATCGGTTTTTCTTCTTCGCCGTTATGTTCTTCTTACCGGTGGTCAGTGGCCCTTATAGTCACCCCAGCGAAGGCGCTGTAGCTGTTGTTATAGTAGTGAGTACTGCTGCTGCTTCCGCATTGTGAAGCTCTTTTCTCTTA